GAAATTCAGGCTCATTTATTGGGAAAGAAGGATTTGGAGTAAGCCTCAGCTCAGAGCTTCTCACATTCCTCCGTGGGAGAGCATCCTTTGCACAGCTCAGGCAATGACATGTTAATCTCTCCTGTGTTTCTCCAAAATTTGGGGCTTCCTCCATGTACATGGTGTGGGGATTGCATTTTATCAGAGACTCTCCTCGATCTCTGCTTTATTCTTTTCCATGCGTCTGAACCCTCACTGCAGAGAGCAGTGCAAAACACACAGTATCATGACTCTCTTGGCCTCAGAAATGTATTACTTGTACTTTCTTTTAGGTTTTATATTTCCCCAGGGACGAATGACGCATCTAGAACACATTTCCAAATAGCTTACAATTTTTCTAAAATGCAACTCGGGCTTTTTACTGTATTCAAGAATTTCTGACTGCTTCTTGACTTATATGTGCTAAGAAGTACTTCAATTAGACACTGATATCCTTATGGCCCCGTAAGTATCAATCTCCCTTAATTATTTCTCCCAGCATTTCACACTAAAGGGGGAGAGACATTGAGGTAAGCAAATAAAAAAGATGCAATGTAGTAAGTTATCATAAAATAACATGGAGAATGTTGTGGGTACATGAAGAAGCCAGTAATCCATTCTTCCTGGGGGAGGAAGTTCAAGAAGGGCCACCCAGCAAAGAGATGTCTAAGCTGGCTCTTGCGGTCTTTTCAAACAGGAAACGACATTTGCAAAGGCCCAAAGGTGTGAACATTTGTGACACATTCAAAGAATAGCCAGTAGTTTGATCTGGCCAAAGTGTTAAGTGCATGGGGCAGGGAAGGCAGGAGCTGGGTGGTGAGCAGCAAAAGATGAAACCAGAAGCATAGGTGAGGGCTGGATTGCGAAGGGCTCAGAACTTCTTTTGCTAAGAGAAGCTGCTTGACTTGGCTGCATTCCTCTTCCCAGCATGTGGACATCACTTGGTTCTTACCTGTAGGGGATTTTGCCACCATAGGCTTTCTTAATATGTTCTTCAAACCCATTCATTTTCTTCTTGGGCACCCAGGAAGACTACATTGCACAGCTTCCCATACAGTTATATGGAACCATGCAATGGAGTTCTGGCTACATGAACTACAAGCAATGCACTGGGCACCACTTCCAGAAATCTTTCAGTGGAAACCCGTAAGGCTCCAAAAGACAGCAGAGCCACTAAGTGGAAGGCTATTGGAGTCCCAGAATTGCTGTATGGGAGGTTGTCCATCACATATCCAATCGGACTATGACCTAAATGAGAAATAAACTTTCTGTGCCATGAAGCTAGTAAAAAACAGGGATTGTCGATAATAGGAGTTAACATATCAACTAATTCAATAGGCGAGGAAGTTCTCAGGGGAAAAGCAGCTTTGTTTGCACAGGTGGTCTACCCTGGCAAATGGGTAAATACCAAAGGTGTCTGTTCACTATTCTCCAGGAGGACTCCCAGGCCATGTACCAATGGCACCAGATTCCCCCTGACTTGTTGGCAGTAGGTGTGTGTGGGTCCCTCATTGTCCCAGCCCTGACTGACTCCCTCCATAAGGCAGTACGTAACCAGCTCCATAAAGCCAGGTCTCCAGGGAGGGTTCCTAAGGGTCACAGAATGCTCAGTTCCTACTTGCATCAAAAGCAGATGTTGTCCCCATAAATGTCCTTAGGAAGTTCCTTCTACTTTTTTTTTTTTTTTTTGAGACAGAGTCTTACTTTGTTGCCCAGGCTAGGTGAGTATGATCATCACTCACTGTAGCCTCAAACTCCTGGGCTCAAGCGATCCTACTGCCTCAGCCTCCCGAGTAGCTGGGACTACAGGCATGCGCCACAATGCCCGGCTAATTTTTTCTATGTATATTAGTTGGCCAATTAATTTCTTTCTATTTATAGTAGAGACAGGGACTCACTCATGCTCAGGTTGGTTTCAAACTCCTGAACTCAAATGATCCACCTGCCTCAGCCTCCCAGAGAGCTAGGATTATAGGCGTGAGCCACCACGCCCGGCTTCCTTCCACTTTTTAGTACCCTGGAGCAACAATGCCTGGAAAGTAAATGCACCTTTGTTCAAACCATAATCAAGGCTGACTTTGGATATAAAACACTGGAGTGAGGGAGCCTGAACTGGCCCTAGAGGGAAGGGGGCTGATCTCAGCTACTCCTCCCCTTGCTCTTCTGCTCTGTACATGTCATTCAGAGTGTCAGTCGTCTGTATGACTCTTTCCTCAAGGCCACTCTTCACTTTATTTTAACTTGATTTAATATGTATATAAATATATTTATTTAGGGAGTGTCTGGAAGCTGCAGTGTAAAATAAGTTTAAGCTCTGAGCCTCCCCTGGTGACAAGCTGGAATGCAATTTACAAAAAAATTCTTGTAGCAGGCAAATCAGAGCTGGTTCTGAAGAAATGAGAGTAGAAAAAGAATGAAAAGTCAAGAATAAGGAGGATACTCATTTGGAATTTTAACACTTGCCTGTGATAGAATAGTAACATGTGGCTTTAATAGCTGCTTTCCTGGCCATGGTATTTAACAAGGGCTGGATTCCTTTGGAATCCAGAGACTTAGACTGATTATGACAAACCTTTTAGGATTTGTCCTAAAAGATTTCCTTATCTGGGTGTAAGACTCAGGAATTTGAATCCCTTCTACAATATGATGCTTTAGGTTTTTATAGTCTCAGGCTCTAGGTGAAAGTGTAGCATAGCAATTTGAAGGAAGCCAAGAGCTCCTTTGAAGGCACTCAGTTATTGAACACGCTGCGATTGGATCACCTTTATATTTGCAAAATTCCTGCACAGAGCTTTATGATCTCACAACTGGCATCAATTTAATGAATTCTTTCTTGAAGAAACCCACAACGTCATTTCACAAAGCTTTATTACTTGGTATATTTGAGTCTTCTACTAAAGTTGTTTTCCTTCGCAGCCTGTTGAGAATGTAGACAAGGTGGTGTGGATAATTCCAAAACACAAGACAGCTCTGGAGGAAAAATCTGGAAAATGATTCAATGAAGCAGTTGTAGGACCTTGGACAGGGCACTCAACTTCCCTGTGCCTCAATTTCCTTCTTTATTGAGAGAGTTATGAGAGTGTCTATCTCATGAGGTGTGGAGGTTGTCCAGTTTGTTCATGATTATTCATTTCCTTTTCCAGATTTCCCTGTAAATGTCCTCATCCTACTGATCTGGGCTTGGCTACGTGACTTGCCAATGAGGCATGAGTAGACGGAGTATTTGCCTTATCTGAGCAGAGGTTTTGAGAGGCACTGCACATTCATCCCTGAGCCTTCATGGGCTGATCTGTGTCCTGGGGGTGACAACTGGATTCTGAGTCCAGAAGAGCTGCAGAATGTCCAGAAAGTCCAGGACTTTTAAAATTGACAATTGAAACTCTCATCTCTCACAGATAAAAGAATCTCAAATGAAGACAAAGATTGGGCAACAGATCCAAACATACCCATTAAGTCTTCTGATTAGATTAATAAGGCCCTCAGTAAATTGCCCAGTTGGACAAAAGGACTCAGGGAAAAGAAACCAAGGGTACATTCCATCTGAAGCACCATAGGATCAAAGGACTCATAATAAAATCTATAAATGGAGGATTTCTCAAAATATTATGGTTGTGGCTACTGACATACATGGAACTCACTGGGCTTAAATTTACTGAAAATAAAAACAGTTTTGTAGAGAGATATATTGCCAAAAGTACCACCAACCTGGCTTAGAAAAGGGAATAACTGTTCAAGTCATAAAATAACCATTGGGTGCCCAATCTTCTACAAATGGGAAGCAGTCCAAGATAGCGTCTTAGCCACAAATGGCAGGGTTTCTTTTTTTTTTTCTTTCCCAACATTCTCTTCAGAAGAGGCCAAGGAGGAGAATAAAAACAGAGAAGCTGTCCAGAAGATGGAGTCAAGAAGTGTGAAGAACTGAGAAATCACTCCCAGAAAATGTAACTGGGATGGACCAAGGAGCACTCCCTGCCACCAGGGTCAGGCAGTTTGCATTATTTGCTCAGCAGAGTATCAGAATTTCTATGAACAGTGAGTAGGATGTGTTCCCATTCTTCCTATTGTTTTTTAATAAGGTGTTCCTCCTCCACTGTTGTATTAGGTTTTCTAGTATGAGAGGGTGCAAGAAACTCTTCATTGGTGGTTTTGAGGGTTTTTTTGAGTAGTAGATACTCAATTAAACTGAATCAGATTTAAATTCTAATCAAAGGGGCTCTATGAGAATTCTATCCCGGAACAAGGACATAGCAGTCTTTACCAGATTTTTAGAGCATTCCCTCAGTCTGACTTTTGGCCTGCTGCTGCTGAATTCTGATATAATTTATTTTTGGCCCTTAAAATGTTTCTACAAATAATGGAGAGCTTATTTTAAAGCTGTAGCTACGAGGAAGGAAGGGTGATAAAAGTGGATAATAAAAATTGTGGAGGATTTATTTGGGCTCTTTAAAAATGAAGATGACTCCTTGGAAGGGCAGATGCTTTTAATATTTGAAATGTTGCCTTGGAAAACAATGGATGTCCCAGAGTAAGCACAATGATTTTATGAACCTCTTTCATTCTGAGACCTGTAAATGCTAAGCCAGCAATGAGATGGGCATTAAGAGTTGATGGTTTTACTTTTAAAAAAAAATTATTGTTAATAATAATTTTAAGATTTTTCTCACATTTACATAGTGAATTTAATTTAAAGTACTGTCATATGTACTTTGCCATTATTCCCCATGGCATGAGTCAGGCTATACTGGCTTTATTATCATCTCAGATAACAAAGTATAGGCTCAGAGAGGTTAAGAGACTTGCCCAAAGTTGCATAGCTGGTAAGAGGCAGGGGTAGCTTATTTTGCCTCAAGACCATTGCTCTTCTATCCATGTTATAAAACCTCAGTAAAAACTTACCAATTGAGCCAGGCATGGTGGCACAGGCCTGTAGTCCCTGCAACTCGGGAGGCTGAGACAGGAGGATCACTTGAGTCCAAGAGTTTGAAGCCAGCCTGGGCAACATTGTGAGACCTCAACTCTAAAAAATAAAAAAAATAATAATTACCTATTGACTTTCAATATATAAATGGCAGAATAAAGCTACAATTGCTCCCTTCCTCTGTCCTCCAGAAACTCGAGAGGCAGAGCTGAATGATGAGTCACAGTTCTCCCACCTGCCCTTGGTGCAGGGTAGAGGCAGGGTCTGTGTATAGGCAACAGCAGGGCAGCTGCCAATCTCTCCTGGGCAAGAAGGAAGGTGGGGAGTGGAGAGTTCACTAGCATGCATCAGTCCGCAAGAAGAAACTTTACAAGAGAAGGCAGGTGGCTCTGTCCCCTGCCTCACATTCACCACTGGCAAGTGCTGGTCCAGGAAGCCCCTCCTGATGAAGGTGAGTGACAGTCACATGTGGTGATCACAGGGTCTATACAAAGACTCAACAAGAGGAAAATCAGAAAGAAGTAGAGGAGCCAGGTGCAGGGAGAGGGGGGGATAGACCAAATAAAAAGCATCATGAGAAAAATGACTCCACGGATCAGATAAAGGCCAACATCGAAGGCTCACCATGCACTCACAAGAGTTTAAAGTCAGAGGAGAAAAGGATAGAAGATGAAATGATAGGAGAAATAGGAAGGAAACGTTGGTGGCAGCACAAAAGGGATGAAACATTGCAGAAAACACAGACATGAAGACAAGATAGAGGAAGTGAAAGGGAATAGATGAGAGTGGGAAAGGGGTAGAGAAAAACAATAAATACAGACAACAGGGGAATGAGATCCAGAATTAATAGAAGGCTTGAATCTAAATTTTAAATGACATCTCTTATTCTGGGAAAAGCACTATATCAAATTATCAACACTGAGACCTACCCTAGTAAAACTCCCAGATACCAAAGATAAAGAAAGATTTCCTAACAATGGAAAAATTATATAAATAACAAAATCCAGTCACACAGGAGCAAAAGGTGATATAAAGAGGAAGGCTATGTAGGTTTAAAGATGTCCTTATCTTTTATAACCAAGTGTGAATGCTGATAAACCAGCTAATTGAAGTCTATTTAAATATATAAATATTAATGTTAAGAAAAATAATAAAAATCAAACAAAATCAAGCAGTAGAGGGAAGGCTATCAAGAAAAAGTTGGAATTACTAATTTCAACATTGGTTATAGTAAGGAATCAAAGAATGATGATCAGAGCAATAGAGGCATTATGTAAAGTATATTGTACTCTCGTAAAAACAAACCAGTAGAGAAAGAATGAAGTTTTTCACATGATCAGAAAAAAAGGAAAAGAAAACATAGACCTCATAGTGGAAGATAGAAATGAATGCATCAATAAAAACTGGTAGTATATCAGTAATCAGAATTAAAAATAAGATGTCAGGTCCACTTCTAAAAATTGGTACTACAAATATACTCACATCCATGAAAAATTATGTATGTACAAAGATGTGGGCTGTGGAGTTGTTTGTAATATCACAATACTGGGAACAATTTAAAAGTTCATCGACACACCTGAAGCTCTGACTCAGGTAGGGCAAAAGCAACATACATAACCTAAACATTTGTACCCCCATAATATGCTGAAATAAAAAAAATAAATAAAAGTCCATCAATAGGAGACTAATCGAATCAATTATGGCACATTCATAAACAGAATACTATATAGCAGCCAAAAAGAATAAGGCAGCTTCAAGATAATATTGCTAGGTTGAAAAATAAGGTATAGAGCTATTTTTCTAGTATACAACCACTTGATGAAAAACCATATGCACCTATAGCATGTATGTGTATGTATAGTGTGCATACAGGCATGGACTCTCTTTGGAGGAGAGTAATTCTTCACTATGTACTCCACTCTCTACTCCCTGAATTCTGAACATGTGCATATTTTATCTAGTCAAAACCATATTGATGAAATAATTTATAAAAGGCAAACCAAACTCCCCAATTGGTTGACTCTGTTATGCAAGTGCCAGTTTATAATGGGTTGGGAAAGACGGAATTGGACTCAGAATAATTCCCAGCCTAGAACACCACTGAGTATGCAGTTTACTTTTTTTTATTATTATTTGTATAAATTTATGGGTACAAGTACAATTTTGTTGTATGCATAGATTTCATAGTGGTGAAGTCAGGGCTTTAAGGGTATCTATCACCCCAATACTGTACATCAAATCCATTACGTAATTTCTCATCATCCACCTCCTCCAGTTAACTTTTGTGTCCCATTGGGAGATAAGGTTTCAATTTGGCTTGGAGCCACTTAGAGCTTGACTTGACTTAGAAGGGACTTGGACACAGAGATCACTGTCGGAACAAGAAATTGTCCAGAGCAGCAGCCAAAAGCCTGCTTCAAGAGAAGGGTCGACAATGTACTCCATTGTGGTGTGTGCCTATCAGACAGGACACTGAAGTCACAGTTGTGGTTAGACAGAGGTGTGCAATCCAGCCCAGGGCCATCAGCCCAAACTGCAAATCTGTTTACTAAGTGCCCTTCAGTTTTTAACTTTTCTAAGTGAATGTCCATTCCCACTGAGACACTACTCCTGCAGATATCATTTCAAGTAAGAAAAGATTTCTTGCTTTGCCTGTAGTTTGTGGATCTTTCAGCTTTTCCTTTTCTGCTAATAGATGGTAATCGTTAGACCTAGGCCTGAGGGACAGTTTACAGGAGACTATTCACACAGTCTGATCTTCCACCACATGTTATTTTAAGGCATGAGAAAAGAGTCACAACCGCCCAGGGAGGAAAAAGAATGTGAAGGGCAGCATCCCCCTCGAGAGTTGAATTTGGTCCTTTAAGGCCAGCAATTCAATCTCATAAAAGGCACATCTCGACTCTAGCCAATCAAGATTTCATTTCTGATGGCAATACCTTCCCCACACTCAGAAGAAATCAGAAACTAGAGCCTTCCTTGCACATGAGAAGTCAATAGAGTGTTTTCTACTAAGTTGACTTGGTCTTATAAACCGACCCAGAATTTTTTTGACAGCAGGAAAGCTGATATTCTGCCATTTTATGGAGTGGCAACGCCATCTACCCGTTCAAGTCTGTCACGTTAAATGGAGAAGGTTGATTTGCATCCAGGACTCAAGGAACAGAGTTTCTGATAAACCTGTGAAAAATCAAAGATAAAGCAATAACCTCCGTGTGTTTTCCAACCTCTCATCTCTGGTTTGTTTTGCAATGTCTGTGTCCAAAGTTTACTGACTAGACAGACATTTCGGGCCATAGAGGTTCTGATCCTTGTTACTTAGAACAGCAAGTGGCTTTGCAGATGCTGTTGGCCAATAAAAGGGTCAAAAAGGGTCAGAAACCACGGATGTGATTCTAGTCTTTTGTCTTTGTCATTAACTAAGCTTCACATCAAGTGATAGATTCATTAAAATCTAAGTAATCCATATGCAATAAGATTTATAGTACAAAACATCTTTATAGATTTTTCCCCCAAGATGTCACTTGGAAATTTATTGAGACTACATTCAAATTTCCATGAGACTAGAAAAATAATATTTTATGCACACATAGTTCAAGGGCTGAATAGTCAATTTTATTATGACATGGTGGAGTTTTTATCTTAACACACTGGTGTAAGGATAGTCAGTGGATATCAAAGTCACAGGCCTGGCTTCAGAACTGCAATCCGCGCCTAACCCTGCCACCACTAAGCTATGGGCATGGAAGAGTTGGAAGTCATCTGACTTTCTAAGTCTACAAAGCCGGGATCTGAATAGCTGGTCTGGTTTCCCATGTACCTCCTGGGAGAACAGAAGGAAATGCGGTTTGTGGTTGTACTTTGTGATGTCATTCCCATCCGGGCAGGTCCCAGTGGTAATAGTTCCAGGCTCTTCATGAGCACTCTGCGTCTGGTACATTGTATGGCAAGTTCCTAGTTGGTTCTAACTCTTATTTTAAAATTTCCTGCGACTATTCATCATGAAACTTTGTTATAACTTGGTTGAAAACCAATCTTCTTTATATGTGAAGAGGCTTGTCATAAGATAAAAGTAACGATATTGCATTTCATGACACTTTTAGATTCCTTCTGATCATTTCATTAGAGGTGCAATCATAAAAGTCACTTGTTACAACTGCGCATTTATATTTTCTTTAAGCAATCAATCTAAGACTCAACTAATACACACAATTATTTTAAATTAGTAGCACTACCTAACAATCTTGTTAGCACCTGTTTGCTAGGTATTTAATAGGACTGATTTCATCCATGCCATCCCTCTGAGCTGCTTATTTGCATGTAGATAGGATATTTTCATTTTGCTACCCTGTCCTCCTGCACAGTAAACCAAAACCTCAGGGCCCACATCAGGCATGGGAAAACAACGGTATCCATCGAGGGCTTCCCAGTATAGTTCTGTGCGAATGAATGAGGCAAAAGACACAGGGTGGAGAATGAATCCATCCTGTGGCCAGAGGAGGAACTACCTAGGAATTCTCCCTGACTGGTCATTCCCTGAGGGCTCTGGTTTAAAAAACCTGGTAGTACAGTAGTCAATTTTCATTGCTCCCCAGGTGTTGGAGCTCTGGCTCTCAAGGAAACCTTCCAGCAGGCGAGGAGGGCAGGCTAGGAGGGCAGGAGACAGTCTGAGCCACAGTTGTTTAAAGAAGTAAACAAGCCAGTGCAGTCATTTAATCAGAGGGCTGTGCTAAAGAATGTCAGATCTGCCAGAGCACCAGTTTGTGGTTTTCAAAAAGGACAAATGGGTGTGGGCTGACAATGTGGCATAACCACCCAGAAAGAACTGAAATTGCCAAGCAGGAGGCACAAACACACGCCCTGATTATCACCTGTTGCCTGGCCGCTCCCTACACGCCGAGCTCATATGAGTTATCTACAACTCTGTCTGAAAATAAAGAAGGGCTTAGTGCATTCCTCCATCTGTGCCATTCTGATGGTGGCATGAGCAGGGTGCCCCAGAAAAAGAATAGACAAGGAAAACACCACCAGAGCTCTGATCCTGGTGCTGATATTGGTAAGGGCAAGTCTCGCAAATGCCCTGTGTGTATTAATAAAATGGGAATTACAACACCACCTCCATCTTCCTTGCAGAATTATGAGCTGAGGATAAAGAAAACCCATCAAGAGGTATCTTATTGAGCTCACAGTGCTCCCAGAAGTGTAGATCCTGAAGGCGGCTTGAAAAGGGATAAGAAATATTTGGCCTGGAGTATTTCACAATAGATTTTGGATAAGATGACATTAACACCTATGTAATGAGAGTAAATCATTTGACAGCATTTGCACAAGCATACAGTTATAGAATATAACCTATATAATTCGTTTAAGATTTCACAGGCAAGGGAAGGTGACATGGAGGTGCAACGGCCAGGCTGGATCCTGAAACGCAAAAAGGTTTTGGCAAAGGAGGGAAGGACAGGTGCTCATCAATGGCAACTCCAAGGGAGCAGTGAGCAGTGCTTATTCAAAGGGCCACAAATGACTAGCAAAAAGTTCAAAATGAGAAGGGAAATAAAATTGTAGAGATAGGATGAGACTGGATTAAAGCAACAGTGAGATCAGATGGAGGAAATATTTGGAAAGGAAGAAGATTAGGGTTCCAGGGAATTTTCAAACAACAGTGATGACAGCTTAAGGAAGATGCATCCGAGAATAGTATATAGTCTGATCGGAGCTAAGAGGATGTAAAGTGATATGGAAAAGTATCTATTTCCCACTCTTCATGGTGGTAACAGAAAAAAAAAATGAAGAGATCATGTAAACATTATAAAGGAAAAAACTGAAAAGACTAGACAGATGTGTTAAAGTTTGTTCAAGTTTTTGAGCCCAGGTGACAGCCAATAACTTCGGCTCTGTTTGGAAGTCAGCATGTACCGACACTTTTTTGTTTGCTTTGCTTTATTAGGGGTCATTTCAAGTCCTTCTTCCACAAAGTATTCTGAATACAACTGACTCACATTTCCTCACTTCACACAGCTATTCATTATGTGGTTCTGTAAGTGTGGTTTTCTTGCTCTTCCTGTCTTAATTTAGCATCAACTCCTGCCTCTCCAGTTCTGCAATAAATGTTCAGCATGGTGCCTTCTTGGTTGTTTGGGTTTGTTTTTGTTTTTGTTTTTGTTTTGCCTGTGGAGCTATAAAGCTCATAAATAGAATCATTTTGTAGAATCCCCATCAATCCTTATTTGAATCAGTACACTATTTTCCATAATTTTAGTTCCTTGATCAGAGTGGCAAGACACAATTCCAACTTAGTACACTAGATGGCAGACAATAACTATTTTCTCTCCA